ATATTCCGCTGACAGCGGTGAGCACTCCGAGCAGCATGCTCTGGGAGTGGCTGGTGATACCCCATGGGCTGTCAAATGCACTAGCAACATGTAATCGTCTTGTGACGCAGTTGTTCTGACCCCACGGGGCGTATGCACAGACATACTTTGACGACAATTTCGTTTTCAGTCATGCGGAGCACGGGAGGACAGATGAGGAGAATCATATCGTCCATTTAAGAGCGGTACTCGATGCATGCGCACGAACAAACTGTACGCCAATGCAGACAAGGGCATCTTTGGCGCAGAAGAGATTCCCTTTTTAGGGTGCTTCATTGGGAAGCGTAGCCTTCGAGCGGATCCTGCTAAGGTCAAGGCCACTGAAGACTGGCCGGTACCATACAACCAGAACGACTTGCGTAAGTGACTTGGTCTCGCCAACTACTTGCACATGTATAGCAAAAATTACGCAGGAATGGCCCAGCCATTATCCAATCTTTTTAAAAAGGATGCGGAATGATGTTGGAACGCCGAACACCAGGAGGCTTTTGACGGGGTCAAATACAGCCTCCTCCATGCATCAATACTGGCGCTGCCAGACCCTGATCGTCCTTTCAGCGTCGTCTGTGACGCTTCGGACTTTGCCATCGGCTGTGCACTGCTACAAGCAGACGCCGAGGGGCGAGATCGGGTGATCGCGTTCGAATCTTGACACCTCAAATCTGCAGAGAAGAACAACCTTCTTCATGACAAGGAGCTACTTGCACTTGTCAACTTCAGTGTCCACCTGCCCGGCTCCAAGCCTCTTGTGATCAATATAGATCCTACGTCACTACGCACTGCGACTCAGTCACCCCACCTCTCGCAGAGGGCGGCAAGATGGCTATCCTTCTTTGCGGAAAATAACTTCAAGGTAAAGTATATGCCGGGAAAGTAGAATGCTTTGGCTGATTCGTTGTCACACAGACCAGACTTTGAGCTTGCTCATGTTACAACTGTGACGTAATCTGTGACGGATTTGATCCGCACCGCGTATGCGGGTGATGGGATATGTGTAGCGCTGCCTACGGGCTCTAGGGAGCAAGGAGTTTGGAAACTCGGACAAGAAATTGTCATCAAGATTGCGTGCACTATTGAACCGATATTCGCTGAATAATGGATTGGTATATCATAGCACCGATTCGACGGATACACCACGAATTGTGGTCCCTCATGATGAGGATTTGGAATATCGCTTTCTCTATAAGGCTCACGACACGCCACTCAGTGGTCATCTTGGCCGTGAGAAAACGTAAAACTTTGTGGATCACCACTATTGGTGGCCCAAGTCGTACAAATGGACGAGCACCTATGTGTTCACGTGTGAGACGTAGTGATTTGTTTTACACTGGTACGTCGAATAACTTTGCTCGAGCGTGAATTATGACTGTGCATGATATAAGCCTGCCTGATGTGGAAGAAGGAACGATAATTCGTTTAGCGAATGGATTTAGAATGAAGCTGCCAAAGCAAACCATTCGCTTGGAAGTGAGGTTTGAAGATTTTCGCGGCGAAGACGAGTTTATCATACTCGGCCTCGATGATAAGTTTGATATCATCCTAGGCATGTCATGGTTGAAGCGTCATCAGTCTTGCATTAACTGGATAAATATGAAGATCGTCATCAACAAGTCGTGCAGCGCATATTTCGAGCTGCATCACGACGAACGAAACAGTATGGGCATATCCATCCGTTATGAGAAGTCACAGATGTTTTAAGTGATATTGTGGTGTGCGATGGCCCCCATGTTCACAGGATAAGCCCGAGAAGATGAAGTAAAGAAACCAAATGGGGGTGAAGCAGTCAGGCGCCAGAAAAAGACTGTCTTCTATGCTATCGA